TAGTACTGGAAAGACATCTCTGACGAGTGCACTGTTCAGGAAGGGTCGGCCACTTGGTGCTTTTAGCCAATGGGAGTGGGTCAATCGGCCTAGCCGCCCAATCAGCAGCCACACTCTGCATGGAAGGGAGGGAGGGAGGCGAGGGAGAAAAAAACCCCGGACATTTTAACCTTGTTACCAATTCCTCCCGGACGGCTATTTAGAGACGCAAAAGCCGGACATGTCCGGGGAAATATGGACGGATGGTAACCCTATGAATTACAGGCAGCACTCACCATTACCAATGCAGCTAAGAGCACACGCAAATGACTGGGAATTAGAAATGTTGCACTGGGGCCCAGTACTGCCAGTTGTCTTTAATGTAGGGAAATTACCAGGCACAAAGGCCTGAAGAACTAGTAGTAATTTGCATGCCAGAGGCAGGGAACTGTTCAGGTAAACAGGTTCCATTATCCAGGGGGGTTGGGAATCTCTTTTAATGCACTGTTTGCCTGAAAAAAACTATAAAGTATTTTGTTTTGTTTTGGAAGGCTTCTTTATTTACTTTGCATATGGCATCAGACATAGTCTTGAAGGTCATCCTAGAGATGAGGAAGATGAAGATACTTGCTCAGAAAATAGTGGAATACAGGAAAAGAACCCCGTGGAAGAAGCAGATGAACATACAAATGAAAATGCTCAGTTTATTATACATGAAAGGACAAGTGAATGTTAATGTTTGCAAACAACCTTAACGTGCATGTCTCTTAAGTAGTAGTAAACTGTGATCGAATGTAGTTGCTGAACGAAATTGTCAAAAGGAGCTGCCAGCAGATTAACAGTAATTTATATTTGTGCATCTTGAAAGTGCCTACCACAAAGCATGACTGACGTGTTGAACTAGCTGCTAATACCTCTTGGATACTTCAGATCCAGTCACATGAAGACTTTCTTCAGTGAAAAATTGATATCCCAGATGAAAACATCAAGGAAGATAAGGGGAAGGACAGACTTCCAAGCGGATAACTGTACCTTTGCTATGCTAAAATTTGGGGGTGTTTTGGTTGCACAATTATATACAATTAATTGGTGATGACAAAGTATAAAGAATTTTAGGATTGCTTACAAAAGAGGGCCCTGAACATTTCACATTTTATGAAGAAAGCAACTGCTTTTCATATGTTCTCCTTATCCCTGTTCATTAAAATACTTTGTCATGTCTGATAGGGTATAATGAATAACAAAGTGACGATACTCTTTGATCATTAAAATATTTAATTCCTTCTTTTTTTTTTTTCAGGGAACTAATGGGAGATTAATTGGGAGTAGGTCTAGAGCAGTGGTTTTCAATCCCTGGGGTCCGCAGACTATGTCTAAGCGGTCTGTGAAAGGTAACTAAAGAAAATAAAGAGGGGTAGCCATGTTAGTCTGAATCTGTAAACAGCAACAGAGGGTCCAGTGGCACCTTTAAGACTAACAGAAGTATTGGGAGCATAAGCTTTCGTGGGTAAGAACCTCACTTCTTCAGGTGCAGTTTCAGATGCCAGAAAAGGCATTCTTTTTTTCTGATCAATCAAAAGTATGTGAATACCCCCATCTACGGGTCAAAGCCTGGAAGTGTTATTGTTACCATAGAAGCCCACAGTTTAGCACCCTTCATGCATAAAATACTGTGCCAAGCACGAGCAACATTTATAGTTGAATTCTGTTCAGTCAGTTTTCAGTGTAAAACTTCTAGGGTAGGGATCCGCAGACCACAGGTTGAATTTCCAAAGGGGTCCAATCTTCAATTCAAAATTTTTAGGGGTCTTCAAATGAAAAAAGATTGAAAACCACTGGTCTAGAGAATATTCTGCAAAGTTTGTTTACAAATGGTAACAGCACAAATCAGACACTTTTAACAAAGTAGAGTACAATATATTTATATCAAAGTAGTAAGGAGATGTTCGGTTATACTTACCAGTAAGCAGATATGCATAATTCAGACTATGAAGATGCTTATGAGCAATGATACACTATAGGAACAGTATTCAAGAATATTATTTTGTTTCATATAAAGTCACATCTGAATTTTTTTCCTTCCAAAGTTAATCCAGGTACTAAAAGAAAAATTCAAAAGCAGACCTACTCTTATTTGCCTGTAACAACTGGGACATAATGTGTGGGACATCATAGAGTGAAATCCTGGCTCTACTGAACTCAGTGGGAATTTCTGTAATTAGTACTTATGTATAGCATTTCTAAAAGCTTTCTTCTTCACAGCTAAATTCCCTCTTCCTCCTCGTCCATCATATGCATATTGTGGGGAGGGGGAGGGTTGGGTCTATTTCATACATTGCTTCTTGACAAGAAAACAAATGCCTATGGTACTAGAGTTCCTTGCACAGAGAAGAGGAGGGTGGACATACTTGGAGGCAAAGCTTTTATTTACATATATTTATTTTCAATCCTGACAGGGTATTTTCAGGGATGATAGGATTTAAAATTTGAAATATATCTATTTGCAAAGTCTGGGTTTTTTCCCCTAAAACAAATGTTTCAGTTCTTTATTACCCTTTAAATAAATATCAGTGATAGTAGAGCAAGCAACCATACATAAACAGCACAGTGCACATGAGTCTGATGTCCAAAAGCCAGGAAGCAAGTTGTTATAACAATACTGAATAAATAATTAATTTGAACATAATGAACAATATCTTGATGGTGTTCTTTTCAATGTAAAAGCAAAGATTTATGTTACCTATCAAAGGTACATAATCATTTAAATATTTTTAGCGTATATAGGCTTAAATAGTTGAGAAGTGTCACTATTAGTTATGGAGGATTTCAAAATGTGGAGTTATTTTGCCCAAAATGTTATTTTTAATTAATAAGTTCCCAATAGTAAGCAAAGAGCGTCCAGAATGCTTCCATTGACTAAAGGAAATAGATAGTCCTACAATCTAAAGGACAATATTGCTGAAGTACATTATGCTGTTAGCTTTCTCCTTTACTCACTGTAAGGCAAAACCCATTGAACACAGTTTTGACAGGTGTCTTCAAAGACTTATGTTGTCTGATATTAAAAATCACCTTTATACTTCTACAACATCTAGAATTTATGAGACGGTGGAAAGCCATTTTCTGTGTGTGTGTGAGCAGCATTGGATTCTTGCTACTTTTTAGCTATAACATGCACAAACCCTGGTGAACACAAAAATATAAGGTTTCAGAGTAGCAGCCGTGTTAGTCTGTATCCGCAAAAAGAAGAACAGGAGGACTTGTGGCACCTTAGAGACTAACAAATTTGTTAGAGCATAAGCTTTCGTGGACTACAGCCCACTTCTGCTGTAGTC